GAGAACCAAAATTTCTAAGTCCCACTCGTGTGTTCGGAAACCTATGACGTACTTCGTTGATCCGTACACGACCATAGTACCTTCTTTCTTTCTTTCTTTCTTTGCCTCCTTGTTTTTAAGTTTCGTTGGCCGCGTGAATTCGTTGATCTAACCTATTGGTACGTTCTCACTTATCTATTAAAAAAAGCTCTTATATATCACTGACCATATATCTTAAGGCGGTTATAGTGTATCCTAGAATACCTGATCAAGAGTTTCGTACCGGATTTGATAACGATTTATAAGTGCCGATGCCAGAAGCGGCGATGGTTMGGTCGTAAAGAAACAAGAGAAAATCTATTTACGAAGACTCCCGTCGCGACCTCGGGTYGGTTGCCGAAGGAAATCCGTTGAACTGCGACTTTTTCGGTTCTATAGGGACTATAGGGATGCGAGAAAGGGACTATGACTAAAGATATACGAGGTTTCAAAGACTCGTGATGGTTCGCTGTTGGGACCCCGAGTCTCCAACCTTCTCTTTTCTTACTGGTTGGAGGAAAAATCCTTAAAACGGGCTAAATTCAAAAGCAAACCACACAGAGCGAAAGAAGTGCTATTTCTCAATGATCACGTAAAATTTCGAGGCTTTATTTTACGTTTCAATGATTTTATTGAAATTTTTGAAGAATCCCATACATTTCCTTATAACATGACACCACAGAAACCAAGCTTGGGCTACCTGTGGTTAGGTGCACTTTGAAGAAGGCGAATTCAAGTATTTCGTTGGATTCAAATTTAGGTCCGTGCACCCCAGAAGAAGGGAATAATTATTTTATCGTGGAATGGGGTTGCCTTTAAAAAAAACCATTTATTATGAGTTGATCGATCTGTCGTTACATCGAAAGTTTTTACTTCGATCAATAATTGTCTACAGCAAAGATTCAAGATGCCTCATTGTCTTATATCATCAATTTGGCTACAAAACATYTTCACAATCAATTGCGAGAACGTGATAAATTCGGACAGGACTCTATACTTTTTTGTTGTTTTCCGGAATAACACGTAATATTCAATTATTTTTCAAAGTTTAACACMATTCTGTTTATTAGAACAATGTAMAAATGTTTTGTGCTCAATTTTTACAAGTTCTACACCCCGTAGAACCTACAAAAAAATCGTTTTTCCATTTTCTAAAATAGTTTATTAAAACAACTTTTATCAGTATTTTATAAATATAGTGTAAGTTACATGGTCAGGGACTTTACTCAAGTTTCTTCCTTAGTTTCGCTTTTATGATCGATTTTTTTGCACAGAGCTTGATTTTGGCGATTATTCTTCGAAAATTGTAAAAACGCACGTCATTCCGGAGTGATTATTTCAAAAGCAGCCTCCGGACACCCCATTTTTCTTTCCATTTTCGAGATCAGCATTAAATTTGAGGTTAAGAGAGTTTCAATTTTTTGAATTTACTGTTCTATTATTTATCAAAGTAGTCAACCACCTGAAAACCTCTTTTACTCCGACGAAGGACTAGCGTCCGAAACGTCAGTAAGTTTTTTCATCTTTTCACGGTGTATAATTTACCTTTTCATCACCTCAAAATATATCCCTCCTGAAAATATCTGAGACCTGAAAATATCTGACACCTGAAAATATCTGACACCTGAAAAAATCTGATACTTGAAAAAATCTGATACCTGAAAATATCTGAAAAAAGGATATTTCCTGTCCCCGGCGGAGAATTGAACCCCG